TCTGTAGTACTGTATGTTTTTTTAAATGTTTATATAAATTTTTAATGAAGAATTACTCAGAATAATTCCTTTTTGAAAGGGAAGAAGTGTTTTATGATCACCGACTCTTGCTTCTTGAATGAATAAGGTCATTTTCTCAAGTAAAATATTTTGCTTTTCTAATTCTACACCATAGGCATTCAGCCCTGGATGATTTCCATACATATGCGTACTATTAAATAAATCAAACCAATCGTTGAATAATTTTAGAAAATATGCAGTTTGTAACCAAGTTTCTGATTTTAAAAATCCTTTCAAACCACACCATTCTACAGCTGCAGCATTGGTATTTGAAAATAATTGAGTAGCTGTTTTTACTTTTTGTCGATCAGTTTTTGAAACATCTAAATGACTCTGTATTAACTTGTGAGTTATTTTAAAATTTTTACTATTAATGACTAATAATTTTTCAAGACATGACTTCTTGATAGTTTCTCCGTTGTAGTTAAATCCTTTATCAATATAATGATTATGAGCTAATTTTATAAGATGGGGTGGATCAGCAAATACAAATACATTTAAAGCATCATTACTTGGATGTTGAAAGTAGCATTTTTCATGTTCTTCTATGCCAATTCCAAGTTCTTTTAATAATTTTCGGTTTGATGGACCTAGATCACAAGTTATTGCAACAACTGTGTAACCTGAATCGTATAAATTCCTTAGAACGTCCATCAAAATGTCTTTTGTAACATCCTGATCAAATTTATAAAATATGGGTTGCTTCCATTTTTTAAATAATCCTCTAGCAAAAATCATTTGGCATCTTTTATGTGGTCCGATAACTTGCTCACATCGTCGGTCAATTGCAATTGTATTTGATAGATGAATTTCATCGAAACTTACAATGCTCAACTTGTCGATGTCAGACATATCACGTCCTTTATATTTTATTACTTTAAGTACGTCAGTTAAAATTCCTTGATCGATGCAAAATGTTGATGCCCATTTTCTCAAAGTTGACATTCCCGGTAGCGGTATTTTTAAAACATTTCTTAAATATTTATAAGCTTTCGGGCTTACGCTACGCAAAGACATAGCAGCTGCTATATCATCTTTCGACCATTTCATTTTTTTTTATAGTAGGATTTAAAAGCATTTTTATTTGCCCGGGCGTAAATATTCTATTTAAAATTTTTTTTACATTTTGTTGCACTGAACTTTTAAATTGTTTACTTTGTAATTTTAACTGACGCCGAAGACGACAATTTTCTTTTACAAGAGCTTTATATCTTTTTTTATATTTGGAGTTTTTTTCTGTTTGTACCATGGCTGACTGTGTTTCAGAATCTGAGAAGATAATTATTATACAAAATGGATCTTTTTGTTTATTTGTATTATATATTATAATTATATTATATTATATTATTATTTGTATTATTATTACATATACATATATTACAATTATTTATTATTTATAAATTATTTATTTATTATTTATTTATTATTTATTTTAGAGTATCATATTATTTGAATTTATCTTGGGCAAAATAAAAAAAGAGGCAAAAGAAAAAGAGAAGAAATATGTTAATTTATTGGAAATAATATTAAATTGATTGATATAATATAGTATAATTTGAAAGATAAATGAGTAATAACTGATAATGAGTGTTAACTAGAATCTGAGGAGATAATTATTATACAAAATGGATCAAAAGATAAATGAGTAATAACTGATAATGAGTAATAACTTATTAATTATACTTTTTATTATTGTTATATCATATTTACTTGAGTGATGTGCAGAAGATTCATTAAATAATTCCTTTGGAATCGCTTCTACATTTGTCTCTACTGACTGTGTTTCAGAATCTAAGGAGACAATATAATTATACGTTAATTATATTTCATAAATTACTTTTTTTAATAATTATAATTTGAATAATTTTTTTCAAACATATGACCGTATAATATTTATTTGAGTGATGTGCAGAAGAATTTATTGATTTATCAAATAATTCCGTTGGAATCGCTGCTTCTACATTTGTCTCTACTAACTGTGTTTCAGAATCTGAGGAGACAATATTATACATTAATTATATTTCATAAATATAATTTTTTTTCAAATGTATGACCATATATATATTATATATATATATATTTATACTTGTGTGATAAGCGAAAGAAACTGTTGACACATTTAAAAATTCTGTTGGAATTGCATCCAATTTTAAGTTTCTTCGAGTTTTTGGAGAAAAGCCTAATAACGGTGTTTGCCAAGAACTCTGATAACATGATGCTTTAAAATGTATGAAACATATACGAGCTGCAAAAATATATATTATACATATATTATAATAATATATAATATATATAAGTTTACAGTATAAATATGTATACACACACACACACACACACACACACACACACACACACACACACACACACACACACACACTA